TGTTACTATTACTGCGCACATGGCTGGTATTTATGCAATGAGTATAGTAATAAACGAACATAATATAACCGAATCACCAATGAAGTTTCCTGTAATTCAAGGTTTAATTAAAACAATTGGACAAAAGGGGAATGAGGTAGGCCAATTCAATAAACCAACCGGTGTGATAGTTAACCACGATGGGGATATTGTTGTAGCAGATAAAGGCAACGATCGCCTGCAAGTCATTAATAGAAACGGACAATGTAAACACATTATTGAATATAAGAAGTTTTGTAAGAAATACAAATGCAGTCCGTTTGATGTTGCAATTTCCAGCAATGGCTTGTACTATAGTTTGGATGTAGCACATAATATTGTTGTTGTCACTGATGATGAAGGTAACATATTAAGATATTTTGGGATGGGAAAGCTGAAAGCACCAACTGGGGTCACTATTGGTCCTGATGGTTTAGTTTATATCGTTGATTGTTATGTTATTGCCCATATCAAAATCTTCACTCAAGAAGGGGAATTTGTTAGATCTTTCATCTGTAATAAATCGAAACTTAGCATTCCTTTCTCTGTGGTTGTTAGCAATCACAGAAAGGTGTATATGGTTGACTCGAATGTTGGTCGTATCGCTGTTTATTATGAAAATGGCACGTTTCTGTATGACGTTCCCATAGGTGGGAAACCTCAAGGCCTGGCCATTGATAAAGATGGTTACTTGTATGTAACGTTTTTCGAAAACAAAATCATTAAATTTGACGAAACTGGTAATATCATCGGTCGAATTGACAAAGACAGTGACAATATAAATAAACCTACTGGAATTATTGTAACTGATGATATGAAAATTGTTGTAGCAGATACTGGCAATCACTGTGTTAGAGTATTTGTGTAACCCTGCGACTATTCCACATAATTCTTCTGCCAAAATAAGGGTTCAACATTTTTCTCATATTGATGTAATTTCCCATTTATTTTTGATCAAATGGACCCACTTTTCAATTGCCCACAGATCCTGAAAATATGGGAAAAGTAATATAGCTTTAATTTTTAAAAAGATTGTCATTCAAACAGTTGTAGACTACTCCTAGATAACATGGGGTTAATATGATTATGTTTAATACATCCTCAGGTAATATATAATTGTTCATGCAAATATATGATATATACCATAGCAATACATCGATGAATTCACAATCCTTATAATCCAACAAATCCTACAATATCTTTATATTAAACTTAAACAATTCAGTCATTTTGTTGTTGTTAAAGTTCGAGCAAAATATATGAAAATAAGTGACCTAGACTAGGAAGTAGGATATTCTATAATGTTGTAATGTTTTTCTGTTGGAGTGTAGTAATTGTTTACTCAGCATTTCATTGTCGTGTATGTATTGTAATTTAGCTATAATCATTAGATATGTTTGCATTAATACCTAGGCAGTAAGTCTATTGTTTTATGTCATATATATGTAATAATTATTTAAAGAAACGAATGAATTGCGGTGTTGGTGTATTTTAAGCAATAGTTGTAGGCATTTAATTGTACACCAATCTGTATTTCTGGTCAGGAAACATACAAACTATGAAAAAAACTAAAGAAACTGTTATGAATAATTAACTGTATCACTCATGTGATAGATTAATGTTGGGGTTTCTAGATTATAGCACAGATACCTGCACAAAACATTCATGGTCATTATTGTTTTTTGTGCTAATCAGACAATAACACGTGACTGTAAAATAGTATGAGACATCATGTACATTACCTTCACTATCTGAATATGAGGTTACAGGTGATTATATTATATTGAACTAAATGAAAGTCATTTAAGTATAGAAACGTTAGAGACAAATCAAAGTAATAAATTCAAATACTATATATGCATATATATGTGACTTTCAGAGTGCGATGTGCGAGTGCAATGCAAAAACGTTGTATCATTGCGTTCTGTATGTGTACGACCAGTACCCCGGCTTAATTCATAATTCTAGTTTGGGATTGATGTTTTGGCAGAATGATTTCAGATCCGATGAAACAATATTTTTGAACCATGATGAGCTACCATGTCATGCCTTTCAAACAATGTCTACATTTATCGTCGCAAAAAGTAGATTTAAATTAGGGAGCACCAACCTTTACAGTTTTTTTAAACAGCAAATCAATATTCGTGAAGTTCTTACGTTTTCTAAGTGTATCCAGCTCATTCAGTTTCGCGTAACCTTGTCGAAAACGCTTATCATAGATGACAATTATATCGAAGAGTTTGTCCTGTCTTGACATTGGCTTTCAGAGGTCCATTTCAATACAAGTCATCCATTTCTCTGTGTTGGTACATCAAATGTATTGGTGATCCATTTATATGCCAAATGCTATTGAATTGTCAATGAGTTAGACGAGGTTAGTGATAGAAACCCGGTGAAACTCTGGTGAGTCGACACTGTACACGAGATTCTGGGGAAAAAAATGACATTGATGGAGAATTTTGAATTATAATTCAACTGACTTGAAGAAATATGCGATAGCCTTTTTTGCATATTTCAGTGCACCAATAAATAGAACAAGTTTCACAATTGGTTATGTAATCCTACATCAGAATATTATTGCGCAATCGAATAGCAGCAATATGTCATCATGTGAACAACATCGCTCTCTATGTTTAAATATTGTATATCCTTTGTTTATTATAAACAGCGCCCTCTTATGTTGCATTTTGAAATGTGTATAATTAAATACGGACCAGGCTCGAGCGTGACATTGATGGATGTTAAAGCCCTCCGGTGTTCTGGCAATATATTGGATCTGGCAATATTTGGATCTCCAAGTACATGAAAACTTGTAGGATGTAAATGCTGTATTATTAGGTATGCAGTATAATTATTGAGTTCAAATGTGAAAGCAGCTTTGTGTACCAGTGTCTAGTGGATTATGTAAAATTGTACTGAATTGTTGCACAATAAAATGTCCAATCACAACACGCGTTGTCTTGGCAACTGTCGATACTTTAGAACTTTGTCGTAATTTTATAAAGTTTACATGTGACATAATAATATATGCATTTTTTGTATAGTTCAGTTTAGAATGTGCAATTTATTGGCGGTAAAATAAATCTTTCAAACTTAATTTTTTCCATTTTTATGTACTCAAAATTCAATGTCGAACAAGACATAATTATATATCAATGTAATTTTTAAACTATATGATCGCGGTGAGCGTGACAATGGTGTCCTTGACCTCATGATCTGCTGTTCATCGTCAATGACAAACGTTTAATGTTCTTCGATTCGCGGTAATTTGGAATGTAACTGTGATATTTCAACTAATCCACAGTCTGCAGTGAATATCGTAGGGGATTTCACGAAGAATTAGACAACTCAGTCTCATATTAATTGGCGTTGTTTTTATTCTGACACAATTTGAAATATACAACTGTAAAATTATTCATTTTTGCTATTTTCGCTCAAGGGACGGATCAGTGGAAATAAAATCCAGTAAAACATTACATTCAACTCATTAAAATTCAGTGAAAATAAACTTCAGACAAAACAGTTGAAATGCCTTATTTCAGCGAATACTAATTCCAGCTGAAGTAAAGTATGTTATGGTACGTTAAAAATAGTTCTGTATATTTCATATTTCAATTATTATTTCGTTTGATACATATGTGTCGATATCAATTGAAAAAAACATCATTAGTAAATTATTGAGAACAATACAGACAAGGTCAAAGAATGTTACGATATAATGCGGAAGTGACGACTAAGTGATAGAAATTATTTATCCGTATAGGTACAGCGTAGTATGTTCATATCAAAGAAGAAGTCTGATATTGAAAATAATGGACAATTAATGGGTCTGGTTACGCAATCAACAAATAATTTGTGAATATATGAGACGCGTCTTGTTAGTAGCTATGGATTTACAATTTGTAGGATAATTCGAGATACCCAAAAACTAATTCAATAAATACAAAATTCTAGGGGAATATTAATCTTCGCCATCGATGGACGGTGGCCCGGTATACAAATCGGTGTTAGAAATTAGCGTATTTGTTTACGATAACATTTTTTTGTTAACGTCTTTTTGGTAATGTCGTTGTTTGGCAAACAAGACGGTTTGTGTTCATTTGCGTTGCACACGGGAGAATTCTTATAATATATACAAGTAGATATAATCTGAAAATTAAAAACACAATGAAATGTTTTGAAATTTTTAAAATACAAACGATGAGATTGTAATATTATGATCAGCATATGAATTACAACGATATTGTCAAAGACGTCAATGGGACGTTTTGTCGTACACTCACCCGTCACCCGAAACACCGACGGGTTCGGAGAGTTTCGGCCACATTTCCGACGGGTTTGTTCGGCGTTGCGCATGCGGATTTATTTTCATGAACTAATAACTGGCGAGAGCACTGCTTATTCATATGTTTACCAATCTTCAATGTGTATGTTCAACACACGACAGGAGCGGCATTTTTATTTTCTTGCACCAACGACTTCTCAGTACTATTGTAATTTTTTTTTATCTCCATGGGTACTCTTTAACAAGCGTACACTGGTCTATAGAGGCTACAGCAAAAAAACAGGTTAAAAGATCAAAATATTGTTTTAATTTGTTGAAACTACATGTATGTAATGCAATTCTGGCCAGAAAAATACTTGTTCGTCAGCATAAACTTCTACAAAATTGATGTAAACAAAACACACACAGATTTGTCAGGTTCTGCATTTAATATTCTCAGTTCTGAAGACTCTAATCGAGAATTGCACTAATCCACAGGTATAAAGGAATAAACTGACGCAATTGAAGTACGCCCTCACACACCGCGTTTCAAACAAAACGCGCTAAACAAAAAGCCTATTGGCTAACAATGATTTGATATGATAGGCTACTCAGAATGACACCAAATTAGATGTTATGCAATAAATATAGACCTGATTCTTAGTATAATGTCATCATTCACCAAATATAACCATATGATTTAAACTACTATTACGCTGCTACGAACTCTGATAGGCTGATGTGGGTAATCATTAGACTGGCGCAGTCGGGGAGATTAATTTGTTTTTGTAGTTTAAATAAAATGGAGGTGTTAGAGCGAAATCCCCTGTAACTGCGAAATCACCCCGACTGGTTTATTCTGCATGGCCCTCTATCGACACTGCAGGAACCCGTCGATTTGGGTAATTATGTTAATGAGTGCGCTAATTGACAATCATCTAAGCCAACCACGACGTCTCTTCAACTGACCTCTGACCGAGAAGACGTCGGCTGATTGTAGCAGCCGACTTTTTTTAATTCTACGACTAGTACGACTTACTTTTTTACACATTGTGATGAAGTAGAAACGACGACTACGACAAACTGGAATTTTAACGTGCCGCCATGTTGGGTCTGCAGTGAACCTTTACCATGTTGACCTCATTATGCACGTATTTCCGCGCCCACCTCATTATAATAAGTGCATTCATGAATATTTAATAGCAATGAATTTCCTGCAGAATAAACCAGTCGGGGTGATTTCGCGAATTTGTTTATTTTATTTAAACTACAAAAACAAATCAATCGCCCCGACTGCGCCAGTCTAGGTAATCATGAATAATTATAAATACTGAATCCAATGCGAGGATCACTGTGTGATATGATTGTGAGTTTCTTCGACTTCGTTTGGCGAAAATGCCAATACAGTGAGTCGGTGATACACTAGTGTCATTGACTTTACAATACTGGTACGCATAGTGGTTGGTCTCTGCTATATTGACAATAGATTATTCACGTGAGTAAACAATGCATACAATACACACAACGTACGACCTGTGCATTCATCACGATAACCTCCTAACGGCCTCAACAGTGTTGGCCTAGGAGCATGGCGTCAAACAAGATGAAGTCCATTGCAGTGATTTCCATTATGGTTCTTTTTATGTACGGAATTGATACAGTGAACAGTTCTCGTATATTGTTACTTCCAATGTATACGAAAAAACACGGCGTTGGATTCGGGAAAGTTGCCGATGCTATAGCTACAAATGGGCATGATGTCACGATGTTGATACCATCGTGTGACAAAGCCCCGCCTAACAGTAATTCGTACAGGATAAAGACAGTACCAGTGAGTTTGACGCCGACCGAACTAGACAAGACAAGCCAGGAACTGATACGATTTACTATCAATGAAGGGTTCAGTATCCATTTGTTTCGTAACCTAGCCAACATAACGGCTGGCATCTGCGATGACATATTCAGTAACATAGCCGACCTCAGTGAGTTTAAT